TTTATTTTCTCTATAGTACATCTCATTCAAATCATAGAACAGTCTGATACATTTTTTTCCTCAAGCACAACTTAAAGTCATTTCAAAAGCTTATTCTTTCCTTCTTTGAATCTTTCAGGATGGACAAAGATACACTTGAATGGACACCAAAACCACTCAGAGTTTATTAAAATTACAGCTTCCCAGGCTCTGCCCCTCCTCTCCCCCCAGAGCTTTTGAGTGAGCATTTGGGGTGGGCCCTAGGAAAGCAAAATTTAAAAACTCCTCCCATCAATTCACCCCCATGTGTGGGTGGTCCTTGAACCATCCTTACAGGAGTACAGATTAGGATTTGTCCATTACCTATTGGAAGCAACTTCAGAAAACCCAGGAATAATTAAGTATACAGAAATAGCTCTTCTATAAAATTTCCATATAAAAATAATGGTATTTATTTACAAAGTCTGAGATGCTACAAAATAATACATCATATTAGGTTAGGTACTTCAATCTAATAAAGTCTACATTAGGCAGGTCAGATGTGGTGTTTGCATTTTCCCCTTATTTCTCTTGTTTAAACGCTTGAAGCCTATGGCACCATGATGACTCCTTCATGCAAAGAGAAGCAGAACTATGTTTTCTGGACATAAAACCTAACAGCACGTGATCAGAGTACAACATTGCCAAATGACAAGGTGAACTGGCTGGAGATTTGGGCTCGTGGCCTTTCTATTCTGGCTAACAGTCAGGGCGGGGAAGGGCATACAGCCACCTAGAGGAACCACAGTCGTGAACCATGGTCCCCTCTGAGCTCCGGCTCGGCTGGTGGTTCCCCTTTTTGGGACACTGAAAGGTTGAAGCCACCATGACTCTACAGGGAAGAACAGAACTGCAGTGCACCCAGAGAAATCTGCTAGCAGAAAAGAATCTGGGTTCCCACAGACTCATAGCATGACAGAAACCTGTGACCCAGTCATGAATGAGCAGAACCACCGGGCCATTTGTTCAATTAGTGCTCATCATGTTGAAGATGACTCAAGACAAGTGACAGAATGGTTAAGTTTGAAGAGACAAATCAATGGGTTTCAAAACTCAAACAATCTGGTGATGTTTCCTTGTTATACTGGGATAGAAATGGAGAGAAACAAGCTAACATGGAATAGAAGGGCCAGGTGACCTCCAATTTGTGTGAAGGCCTCTGCCTAGGGAGTAATGGGTTTCTTTCGAGGTTTGACTGGCTCAGGCTGGGTCTTCCAAGCCGAGAAAGGCCCAGAGATGACGCCACAGCCTCACCCTGGGCCCTCATGAGCAAAGTCCCACTCCTGCTCCTTAGCTGTTTAGCACTTGGTGTGACCGAGGGCTGATGCTAACCCAAAGGCCCTCCGTGAGGACTGTGGTGAGGGCTGAGTGTGTAGGAGGCAATGTAGCCCAGGAGGGAGATTCTGGGTGTAGTGCGGGCCCTGGAGGCCACACAGGCTAGGGGGCATTGGGCCAGTCAGCTTTGGGCTTGTTTCACATGCCTGAGTCGGTAGGTGGAGGAGACATTCTCCCCCACTGAGGCCCTTGGTGAAGGGGTGAGTTCTGCCCCTACATTTCAGCTACACTGGCTTCTAAGGTGGCTACAAGCAGGAAGAACTAAAGTTAAGTCTGCTGGAAGAGCAAGGGGTCAAGACAGCATGGAACTCGTGGGCCTTTGTGTAAAGCCTAGGCCTCATAAGAATGGTGCAAGATTTTGTCTGAAAGAGCATCTGCACAGAAATATTTCTTAAGTGAACAAGCTTTCTCCTGTCTCAAGAGCACAGTCAGTGGGTACCTGCTGCCACCGAAGCTTCTGTACTTGTCAGGGATTCCCAGGGCTTAACAGGAGTGAAGAAGTACATAGGAAAAAGGGATCCTAAAGGTTGTCTTTTCTGAGATCTTGGCTGATTCCTGAGAAATGTAATTTATATGGGCATTTAGCTTGAATTTTTTAAAGAAAAAGGTAAAAATCTTAACATCACTTTTTCCTTTTAGGTAGTAGTGTTTGGCTCAACTGAAGTTAAGCAAATGGACTGAGCGTCGTATGGACTGTAGGTCAGAGGGTGGGGAGGCACATGTCTAGAGGGCCACTCCGGCAACATGGAGGGGGGCCCTGGCACACATGGTCAGTGCTGGGGGGCTATTGCTTTGGGTGCCTGGAAATGGGGAACCAATTTGGGAAAATGGCCCTCAGGTAGTCTTTAGCGCCACTAAAGCCAGTCATACGCAAGATAAAAGATTCTTTTATATATCTAATATAAAAAGTAGATCTTTATGTATCTAACAGCTTGTAAAACTAGAAGAAAACACCTAGAAAAGTCCTCCATTTCTAATCACTTTTCTCTTGTGTGGGTTCAGCTGGAAGGTAACAGCTCATAATGAGCACTTCATGGGTTAGAATGTTCCCTTAGTTTTATGGCTACTGCTGGTAGCTGTTTGGTTTTCTTTTAAAAATTCCCTAACAGACTCCATATACTGAAAGCTGGGAACAGTGGGGCCTTTGGAATTTAGCAGATTCCAAGTGCATGTTGTGGGGTAGAGTGGCCTGGAAGAGACGTCTTTCAATGGTCTGATGCAGAACAAATGTCACCTTTTCAGCTCCCCACTTCCCCTGGATACTGCCAGCCACAGTAGCGTGTCCTCCCGGCCACAACCCTGTCGTTTTCTCCATAGCACGATCAGTCTGAACGTCTTCTGTTCTGTTCTCACTCAGACACTTGCTGAAAGATTCAGTCTTCACTCACTGTCTAGCCTTCACCCCTCAGGGACCCCATGATAGCACAGCCTTGAAGGCCACCTCACGGATGTGCCCACAGGGAGGGGGCTGGTGCCTGAAGCAACTTGCCCATGAAGCTCAACAGGCTTCTCCTGTGTGTGGTTCTGGTAGAAACTGCTGAGGCGGTTCCCTTCCTTTGCAGCCCCTGCCCCCCGGACACCCATCCTGACTCTGCTCTCTGACCATCCCAGGGCCCACGTTATACCCAAACTCCGCTGTCTCTGTAACAGCTGAGTTTGTGACGTCTGCATGGCTAAAGCAAGCCACTCCCTTGTGGACTGTCTCTGAATTACCTGCAGTGGCTCCTGTGTTTGGGGGTTCACCCAGGCATTTTTCAAGTGGGGCAGAGAATGGTGACCACTGTCAATTCTGCCAACGGGGAGAGTTATCCTCTTTATCCTGGTGAAATGGCAGCAAGTGCATAGTTTTCTCCCCACCACTTCTCTGAGACATGGGTCATCATTTGTAATGTTTTTTGCAGGGTGGTGGGCATGGCTGGGAAGCAAGGATCACCATCTTAGCACCTCCCTTCCTGCCCCTTCCTGAGGTCCTCCATGATCATAAGGCACAGTTTATGTCAACGCCTGCTGGAGCTGCTTCCATCATCCCATCATCACAAGAGAAGATGAAGCAGGTGACGGTGCACAGTGGGGAGGGAAGGAAGAGTGGGCAGGTGCTTGGGCGCCGTGGCCCCTCCCACATCAGGGCCAAATACAGCAGGCTGGGTGCCACCTACGTGAATATGGAACAGATTATGAATCCACTGAATGGGGGGGTACTATGCATGGCAAAGGTTACCAGCTACACTGGACCTTGAGGGAACAAGGCCTCTTGAACGTCTCCCAGAGCAGAGTGTAACCAGCACTCTCTGGGAGGAGTGTCCGTGTGTGTGTGTATACACGTGTGTACAAATAAGCCCAAGTACTGCTCCTATAAAGAAGCTTGGATGTTGTAACCACAATTTCCTAGCATCCTTTTCTGTTTGATTTCTCGTGAAATTCTATCTGGACTTTAGAGCCAGATAAATCTATGGGGAAGAAGCAGAAGAATGACAGAACTTCCCTAAATATCTCCATCTGGGTTTTTGCTCAGGTCAAGTCTTCCACCTGTGCTGTGTCCTGTGACCCCAGTGTGACCCCACTGAGCATCCTCAGCAGGAACCCAGGGCCATCACTGAGGAACAGAGGCCGGTTCTGCTAAACCCCACACAGTGCCGGCGCGGGTGGCCAGTGACAAGGCACCAGGAATGAATGCTAAGAGTCTTGGCTGCTTTTTCTCCTGAGCCCATGTTTTATCTGTAGCTAAGAGAACGGAGAAGGGAGAGGTTCCCCACGCACTCTGGTGAGGCTGAGGCGCACTCATCATCAGTGTACCTGTCATGAATGCGGATGGGCGGGTCTGGGGTCTGTGGCACAGTATTTCCAAATCTGAAAAGCTAGTTGTGGCCCTGTGGCTCTCCAGGGCCCCTTTCAAGCACGGGGATGAGAAAGGTTGGGGTAGGTACAGGTGGAGGCAGCCTGAGGAGACCTGGTTCTACCTGACTGTGCAGCTGATGACCTTCCCAGTCAGAAAGTCCCCTGCAGGCCCCTGGCCACCCACCTCCTCCACGCCCAGCCTCAGGATGCGCCAAAGGCATCCTGCACCTGCCTCCACCTCTGCCTCAACACTCTGCACTATGGCTTATTCCTGACCGAATGAGTTTTGTCTCAAAGGACAAAACTAGTACATTCTTCTGTACTAGCTGTTTGGGGTAGTGAGTCCCTGCCCCTCTGATCACTGCAGGCATTGGCCTGCATACTCCCCCGGCGGGATTTAGAAAAGAAATGGTGGGCTGAGCTCACAGATACCGGATGCATAATTTAAGGACAAATACAAACAAGTCAAGTCAAAGGCCTAGAATTAATTTTCCATTATCACTTGCTCCTTTCCAAGGCCTGAATGTGCACTTAAGTTGGGGTTTGGCCATGGTGGCAGCTGTCTCCACACCCATATTCAGAGGGGCAGTAACTGAACCCAGCATGTGTGGTTCCCAGTGGCGTCTTTGGCTCTGTCTTGAGAGTCTACATCCTGCTCCACTGCACGCCCAGCTGCCTGGGGTGCTCACCATTTTCTGGTGTTTCTGTGAAACTATCAGGTTAGTTTGAAATGTGTTTCACCCAGGAATCAAACCAGTATGGTCATTTTGGTTCATGAGAATGCAGAGAAGGTGACATGTACAGGAAAACACTGCTTGTTCGTATTCTTGAACTCCTTTTCAGACAAAAGTCATGGCAGTTCACTTTTACAAATTGCACACGGGGTGAAATCATACAATTATTTGCATGGAACAGTAAGCAAGCAGTTCAGTCATAGGGATATGTTTCTTTGTTTTGTGCTAAGTGAAAAAGCTGTAGGGAACGCATAGCTCTGATTAAAACTACAGAGACAATTTCCTGCTCTGTAACACTCCAGATTTAAGATGCTGGCGAAAGGCAGTGCTGGCAAAGTATTTAATGCACGTGAAAATACTATTCTATTTTGGCTTCCAGAAGTAGCCCTAGAAAATTCTATGCACCAATGCATTGGCTAAGAGTGATAATTTCAGCTGGACTATAAATTATTCTAAATGTCACTTAAGTACTTCAGAATTCGCGCTCGCTCCTTTCTAGAAGCCGTCTAAGGCAGCTGATGCATAAAGCACCTCGACTAGACTTTCAACTAGTTCAGCGGTTCGATCTGTGCTCCTGGGGCCCCGAGGTCTCCCTCACTCCCTGCACAGCTCCTCCCACCAGGAACCTCTTGTGGTCAGTCAGCCTCGGGAAAGGGCAGCCCAGGCCAGGGAACGGGACGAGGGAACCACACCATTAGGGGCTGTTCATGTAGCCATCTCAGTTCTAAGGGGGTGGGTGGATGCAGGGGCCACAATGGCCCCGCCGCACGGAAGGGATATGTGTGGCATCCATGCTGCCCGTTCCTCAGGGATGGTCCCCTCCACCACCTCAGAGAACAGGCTGTGTTTGCCACGTGATCTACTGCTCTGTTGTTTAGAGTTTCATTCACACTACGTTAGCTTTCTTCTCAACCATCTCAGCCTTCAGGTAATTTGCTTATTGTGTTTCCCGAGTTTTCACTGAACACACAGTGCAAACAAAGGCAAAGACTGAAGCAGTCGTTTCAAAAACAAGAGCTCACACTAAAAACACACATGAGCATCAGAGAGCAAAACGCGGGTTTGCGCCTGTCTTTATTCTGGGGAGGATGAGTCCTCCTCGTCCTCTTCCTCGTCTTCATCGTTGAATGAACAGGGCGTTTCGCCTCGGGACTCAGAGCAGTGAGAGGCCGCACTGCTGGACTGGTGACTGTTTGGGGCAAGGAGCTGCCCCGTTGCTAAGGCCACTTCAGCATCCAGGCACAACCCTTGGTTTACACTAGCAAACAATCGGAAACACACAGGCTCGTTAATGTGGCGTATAGGCTTTAAGCTTTGGAAAACATAAAGGACGAGAGCCCAGGAAACGTTATGGTCACAGGCGAGCTCTGCCGGGATCCGCAGGAGACCCAGCTGATAGCAGCACATGGGGCTCCCCTCCAGTGAGGAGCAGGCCAGGAGGCTAACCCTTCTAACCCTGAGAAAATACATACCTTGATTGGGACAAGGTGGCACCGGTGGTCAGGTCTAAATTTGAAACGGATTGGGTAGAGTTCAAAAGCAGTCCCTGATTTAACCAAGACGGTCCTGTGGAGATGTCTACAGGAAAAAACAAAAACAGATGGAGGCCTGGTGAGTCCTGTGGCTGCTTTTGCTATGGCCTGAAGAAAGCACAGATGAATGAGGCAAGCAGCCAGTTCTAACTTACAGTCTCTTGCCCTGGGGAGAACCCAGGTTTCTTCAGCTTGGAAAAAGGAAATTTCTAGAACATAAGAGTGGAGGAACGGGGAGGATACAGGGAGACAGACTACAGTTGGAAAGAATTCAAATTAGACCAATCCCAGACTCTTCATTCTTTTTTTCTTGCAGAATCCCTTGAGAGGGCATCCCACTGAATATATTGATGGTTTTACTGCTGCTGGACACCCGCCGGATGCACCACAAAAGCCTCTGACTGTGGTGTTAACAACCAGAGCAGGAGTGGATAAGCAGTCCACTCAGAATATCTTATGTCAGAAGGACAGACACATTCTTGGCTCAACCCCCCACACCCCCCACCATGTTTTCAAGTGCCCCCTGGTGAACTCAGTGCTATTACTGATCAGGATTTACTCTTTTTCCTGGTATCCTTTGCTTTAAAACTTGAACTAAACCTTATTTTAAAAGGCTATACACAGTCACATTTTTCATGAGGGCACTGCTGTTTCAGTCTGCATAAAATATTTTGGAAATATATCTGTGCAGTCCTGTTTTCTATGCATTTACCATATTTCTCCTATCACAGCGCTGACTCGTTCTTACTGTAACTTTATTATTATTTATTGATGGCTGTGCTGGGTCTTGCTGCTGCACAGGCTTTTTTCTAGTTGTGGCAAGTGGGGGCTACTCTGTAATTGCTGTATACAGGCTTCTCACTGTTGTGGCTTCTCTTGTCACAGAGCACAGGCTCGAGGGCACACAGGCTTAGTTGCTCCCTAGCTTGTGGGATCTTTCCGGATCAGGGATGGAACCTGTGTCTCTTGCACTGGCAGACAGATTCTTTACCACTGGGCCACCAGGGAGGCCCTGTAACTTATTTAACCCTTGTCTCCTTATCTAGACTGTTAGCTTAGAGAAGGCAGTGACTGGGACAAATAAAATCTAAATGTTAATGAATGAGCATTGTGTATTTCAAAGGTGAGTTTATTAACACAGGTGGTAGAAATATCAAATTCTTGAGAAAAACTTATTTGACTAATTTGTAAGATGAGACCAAGCATAGGCTCAGAAAAAGGTAAATTGCCAAAATGAGTTATTACATTAATCAAAATAGTTTTGTAATTACTGTGCAAAAAAGAAAAGAAACCATGTACTAGGACTGGAGGCTCTGCCCTCCCAGCACTACCTGATCAAGTGAGAGGCTTCCCACGTAGGAAAAAAGTAAACTAACCAACCATATTCATCTTAACATGGCCTGTGAGCCTTTTCTTCATGCTAACTAAAGCAGCTGCGAGGCGGGGGGTATTCTAAGAACAGCAGGCTTTAAATGGGTACAATAAGAACAAGTCGGTACATGATGTTAAAGCCAGAATCCTGTGCTAAGTATTATTAATTAGTATGTATGGAAACCTTCTGTCGGAACACAGCTCTTGACATGATACATTTTCCTTTCACAATGGCTCTGAAAAGCTGACCCACACAACAGTTCTCACAACCCTCCTCAAGAGCCATCCTGTCCCTCTGCACGCTGGAGACACACACTTCTGCACCAACCAGAAAGTCTATCCTAGTCTGGAAACAAGGCCACCAAGAGATCAAAACCACAGAGCCCACCTAATCGCCTGCAGTCTTTTCACTGAGAATGAGCTAAAATAAAGTCCTGGTGACTTACAGAGTAAGAGCCTTTTGCAGACTCTGCTGGATGGCTAGGATGCCTGAGCTGCTAAGAAAACAGCAGGTCCCCCTCTGGAAGGAGCAAGGGGAGAATTAGGGGGGCGGGGGGTGCAAATAGGGGACTGGGAGGCTGAGGAGCAAGAAGAGGGGGTCAGACAGGAAGTGTGTGGTGTGAATTTAAGTACTAAATGCAATAAAAACCAAATCTCAATCCAGGCTCTTGTGTTGTGGCTAAAACCATAAAACAGTGGCAACTGCTTACATCTGGCTTAATAATCCTTAGAGCTAATATTAAAGTGCCTTTAAGATACGGTATGAAATGGTAGGTCGTAATACTTATAAATGAAGGCAACTGGCAAAAAAGGTAGAAGAACGCTTGTGTCTATACATCCAAATTATATGTGCAGAATATACCACAATTTTAGGAACTATGATCATAAAGAAGATTTCTTAATTATTGAAAATCTGAATTTTAGGACATGCAAGACAAAGTCTCTGTTTTCAAGTATACTCTTATAATGAAAAGACAACCCAGTTTTAAAATGGTCAAATGATCTGAATAGACATTTCTTCAAGGAAGATTCACAAATAGTCAATTAGCATATGAGAAGATGCTCACCATCAGCAGTCATTGGGGAAAAGCAAATCGAAACCACAGTGAAATACCATTTCACTTTCACTAGTGTGGTGGTAATAAAATAAGATGAACAATAACAAGTTTTGAGAAGGATATGGAGAAATCAGAACCCTCATACATTGCTGGTAAGATTGTAAAATGCTACAACTGCTTTGGGAAATAGTTTGGCACTTTCAGAATGCTAAATATAGTTACCATATGAACCAGCAATTCCACTGCTTGGTATACATCCAATAGCAGCAAAAACTTATGTTTACACGGAAGCATGTACAATGTTTACCGCAGCATAATAGCCAAAAAGTGAAAACAATTCCAATATGTGAACTAATGAACAGATAAAGAAAATGTGGTATTATCCACAAAATGGGATGAAGTACTGATTCACGGATGAATTTTGAAAACATTATGCTAAACAAGTCAGTCGCCAAGGCTACATTAGTGTAAGATTCTATTTACATGAAAGGTCCAGAATGGACAAATCCACAGTGACAGGAAATAGATTAGTGGTTGCCAGAAGCTGGGAAGAATGGTGGAGGTCGGGGGTGGTGGTGGGTGGGAGTGAATGCTAAACACATGTGGAATTTCTGGGGTGATAAAATCATAACTAGATAATGGTGATGACTACAAAACCTTGTGAATATGCTAAAAATCACTGAACTGTACACTTTAAAGTGGTGTATCATATAGTATGGGAATTAAATCTCAATTTACAAAGTAATGAGTTCACGTCCACCTGCCTGTTTTGGAAGGTGCCACCTGTTTTGGAAGACAAAACACTTCCACTCTGGGGGTAGAGTATACCACGTCCAAATCAAGTTGGAAAGCCATGGCATCATCTAGTAACAATGAAGATGGACCTGCCCTGGACCCAGCAATCTCACTCGTAGATACATGCACACAGTCACCGAGACACAGTAATGGGAATGTTCAAAGTAGCACTGTTTAAATATCAAGAGATGGGAAACAAAACTAAAGGTTTATCAGCAGTAAAACGAACAAATAAACTGCTTCATCCACACGCTGGAATTCTAGGCAGCAGTAAAAATGCATCAATTACAGCTACATGAAATCATGTGGATAAATCTAAAGAACATGATGTTGAGTGAAAACAGTCAAATCACCAAAGAATATATCACTTTGGTCCCATTTCTATAAAGGTGAGAATTAGACAAAACTAAATAATAAATTGTTTCCAGCTCACTGTATTTTTTTGTGTTTGCATCTCTAAAGAAAAGTGGTGATACATAAGAAATTCAAGAGAGAGGTTACATTTCAGGGTAGGGGAACAGAATTGGCAGGGGGCAGATAGCAGGCGCTAATTTTCTATGAGAAAGGTTTTAGCAAGTTAGGGTCTGACATTTAATCAAGTACCACATTGACAGCATTAGTTAACATACCTGTGATATAGCCTTCCAAAGCCTTTGGCACCAGTGATTTAGCAAGTTTCAGATCCTCCAGGGAGCATTTGCCTGACTCCAGGCCAAAGGACATCCCCATTCGCTTCAGCACTTCTATGTCATCATGAATCTCAAAGGTGTTGTCAAAATTAAAAAGATATTCAAACCTGTATCAGGAAACAGAGTTAGTGAGGGGTTTCTGTGGTGTCTAATCTGAAGAGTGTTGTACTCTGTATATTCAATGGAAGCATGAGGACCTAAGCTCAGCTACAGTACTAGAGATTGTTACCGTTTAGGGCAGTGAGTCCTTCTGCTGGGTTCAGAAGAATGACATCTCAAATAAACCGGTTTCCTGATTAAAATAACTTTCCTGTGACAAACAACAGGAGTCCTACATTCCAGCCCTCATTAAGCTGTGGCAAACTGGAGACAGGAATTTTGGTCTAAATCCATTATTTTTCAAAGTTGTCTGTAGCTTTGTCATAAAAGATAAAATATTAAGGAAGACTTTCCAAGTAGACTTTTTTCCAAAACAGATGTACAGATGGCCATGAGACACATGAAAAACTGCTCAACATCACTAATCATGTGGGAAATACAAATCAAAACCACAGTGAAGTATCATCTCACACCTGTCAGAATGGCTATCACCAAAAAGACAACAAATAACAAACACTGGCAAGGATGTTAAGAAAAGGCAACTTTGGCTGGGAATGTAAACCGATGCAACCACTGTGGGAAACAGTTTGGAGGCTTCCTCGAAAAAATTAAAAATAGAACTACCATATTATCCAGCAATTCCAAGTATTTACCCAAAGAAAACAAAAACACTAATTTGAAAAGGTTACACTCAGCGTTCACTGAAGTATTATTTACAATAGCCATGATAATGGAAGCAACTTTAGTGTCCATCAATAGGTGAATGAATAAAGATGTGGTATGTACACACACACACACACACACACACACACGGGGATAGTACTACTCAGCCATAAAAAAAAACTTGCCATTTGCAATGATATATATAGATCTAGAGGGCATTATGCTAAATGAAATAAATCAGACTGAAAGACAAATATCGCATAATCTCATTTATATGTGGAATCTAAAAAACCAAAACAAATAAAAATAGACTCATAGAGAACAAATGAGCAGTTGCCAGAGGGGAGAGGCTGAAGGCAGTAGGAAAAACAGGTGAAGGGGATTAAAAGGTACAAACCTTCAATTATAAAGTAAGCCCTGGGGATACATACAACATAAAGAATATGGCCAATAATATTGTAATAAGTTTGTACAGGGACAGATGGTTACTAGACTTATCATGGTGATCAGTCTGTAATGGATGCAAATGTCAAATCACTATGCTGTATACCTGAAACTAATACAATACTGTATGTTAAGTATATGTCAATAGAAGTAAGTAAACCAAGCAAAGAAGTCATCGGGAGAAAAAAAAAAACATACACAAAGAAAGCCTTTCCAATTTAGTACCTAACTTTCCTACCATGAGCTGGCCTACTAGGGTTGAGGAAAAAGCACTTTGGATGCTTACATCATTTTCATGAGTCAAGTGTTAGCCATATCACACCTTAGATGAGCAAAAAATGGAAGGCTTTTTACAAACTAACCAAACCCCAAACCCTCTCTTGAGGGTCTCAGGAGTAAAGATGCCCCAATCAAACATACAGTCAAGAAACAAGTGTCACATATAACACAGAGCACATTTCCAAATGTTTCTGAAAAGTGCCAAATCAGGATGTCTAGCTGCCTGGCAAAGGCTTTCAATAAAGAGGCCACTCTAAGAAGAAATGGTCCTCCTGGCTCCCAGACTAGGCTTGGAGCAATGTCGCCAGGAGCCTCAGGGACAGAGGGTAGGTGAATGTGCTGGGACAGTGGTGGGCTTACACTGTCATGAAATTCTGAGATCTTAGATCAGAGCAAAATTTTTCATTTAAAGCAAAATGCCATACTTGCACCCCACCTTGAATATCAAGCCCCTATAAGCAGCTCAGAGCCTCCTGTACCCCAGCTGGGGGAGGGCGAGGAAAGGACAGGAGTCAACAACCACCTGAGAAGGAAGAGGATGCTTAATCCTCGGAGGCCACTGGTCCCCAGACTTTGCTATCACTCTTTAAGACTTCAAAGACTAACCAAGTAGAGAGTTTTAGTGATGTCCTACCAAACAAGAGGCTAACCAGAGACAGTAACTAGAAATCTAACAGTTTATTTTTCCCAAAAATACATTAACCAGTCTCGGGTTTATGGGAGTATGTGACACGTCCTTGTAGACACAGGTTTCTGTCCAGACTTTGAAGTGTGTGAATACTAACATACATATCTATAACATTTACTGCCCTCTGTGCTAGTTCTTTATGACTTTTGTAAACCAGCAAGTTAATTATCAAATACTTTAGAAATCCCTGTTGTTTCTCTTCTTTTTTTGGTGCCTTTTTATTTGCTTCCCTGGTAGCTCAGACGGTAAAGTGTCTGCCTACAATGTGGGAGACCTGGTTTCGATTCCTTGGTCAGGAAGATCCCCTGGAGAAGGAAATGGCAACCCACTCCAGTGTTCTTGCCTGGAAAATCCCATGGACTGAGGAGCCTGGTAGGCTACAGTTCATGGGGTTGCAAAGAGTTGGACATGACTGAGCAACTTCACCACACCTCATGATCTCTGTACACAGTCAAGATACGGAAGCAGTACTGCCAAGAAAAAGAGTGAGAAAAACCAGGGAGGGTAAACCCCAGAAGTTCTGGCCCCTGGGACAGTCCTGGGCTGTGCCTCTGCAGTGATGTGATTACTGAGCCCTCTTTTGGTCTCAGATGTATCCCAATTTGGATGATAAGTTACATACTGACTCCTTGGAATAGCAGCTATTATTTATAAAGCACTTTCCAGGAGTCAGATCTTTTAGAGGCATTGCCTTATTTAAAGAAATGACAGAGCCCTGGTATCATCCCCATTTGTTCTTCAGACAAAGCTTTAGAGCAGCTGCTTGGGGGAGCCACAGTTCATATTTCCTTCTATCTCACTCTGCATCTATGCCCTCAACTACCTCGATACTGATTCACAGCCTGAAGAGCACTACTGTTTTCATGAAGGATAAAATAAATTACAAATAAACTCTGTATTTTGAAAACTGCTATTTCTCACTTACTATGATAATAGTAATATATTGATATTACCATAAATCTTAGTTAAAATGAAAAACATGTTGGTGTGAATGTAAACTGGTGCACCCACTGGAAAACAGTATGGAGGCTTCTCAAAAATTAAAAAATAAAACTATCATATAATCCAGCAATCCCACTTTTGGGTATATGTATCTAAAGGAAATCAAATAACCATCCTGAAAAGACGTCTGCACTCCCGTGTTCACTGACCGCAGCATGACTTGCAATAGCCGAGGTGTGGGAAAAAACCTGTGTTTTTATCATCAGATGAGTGGATTAAAAAACCATGATGTACTTAAGATAACAGACCATAAAAAAAAAAGACAATGGACAACAGATCATAAAAGAAGGAAATCCTGCCATCTACAACACCACAGATGACAGACCTTATATATGGATCTCAAAAACCCAACTCACAGACGCAGAGAATAGACTGAAAGTTGCCAGAGGTAGGGTGGGGTGGGGGTCGGGGGGAGTGGTGAGTGAAATGAGTAAAGGTGGTTAAAAGGTACAAACTTCAAGTTAGTACTTCAAGATAATAAGAAAGCAAGCAAGCAGAGAACACCATCTAGTACTTTTTTTTCATCTAGTACTTTTGTGTCCATTCATTATAAACAGAAGCACGCTCAACTACGATATAGCAAAAAAAAAAAAAAAAAAACTGCTTTAGTGCCACTTGCCGATCTCAACCATCTCCACCATAAACGTGACAATGCATACTGAACCTGGTGAACCTACCATGTACCAGACACTCCCTGATGCTCTACTTGACTGCAGTGACTTGCCCACTTATCTCATCTATGTGTGCATACATATACATGCACGTTCTAGCTTGGGCACCGCTATGTCTTCAGCACAAGCAGCACAGTGCCGGCCCAAGATGGGGATGTGGAGAGTGAAGAAGGAAGCAAGCACTAGCAGATGACAGCACTCTTGTTTCAAGAGTTGTTTCATGAGGCCCAAGGGAGTCAGCCTTGGAGGACTCAGGTAATATTACAAATGATAGGAATTATGTTAAACAGAAGGCTGGTCCTGCCCGCTGCCACTGGTTCTCCACTTACTTGTCACTGGAGATGCTGCAGTCTATGACTGTTTTTCTGCTTGTGTTGATGATTATAAATGGCAACTGAATGGTGGAGTTTAGAGCTGGAGGGCCCTGGTTCTGCTGTTCATTTTGCCGATTTCTTTGTACCAGGTTTTTGAAAGCGATTTGCTGTAAGGATCAACAAAAACATACACAGACATTTAATGTGGATAAGTGAGGTGGAACTAAATGAATTAAGTACATCTAAAATATAGTTTAAAATTAGAGAATTTAAAGAGACCTTCCACCTATGAGTTAATTAAAATTAAACATCTAAGAAAAAAACATTAGAATGATCTAACTCAAGAAATACATTTCAAGGGCAAAAAATATTTATTTAAATGGTATCTAACATATCCTAATAAAAATAATGGGGCCCGCAGTTTCTATCATCCATAGAAACAGGATCTTACAAATCTGAGAGAGAGTGCTACCTGCAACTCTTCTCAGCCTGGGTGATACAGCAAAAGTGGACTGGTTTTCCATTTAACTAACAGACTCCTGAGGGTTTAGGGTTAAATACATCTCTTAGATTATCCAGCCCAGAAACATACAAACTATACAAAGCCACAGAACCCTTTCTTCAAGTGAAACCTTCTGAGGCACCCACTGTTTATAAGACAGATGAACACATCCTTGCTCTGGTTGGCTGCACGGAAGCGGAGTCCTGAGCCCTGCCAGCTCAGCCCTCATTCACCCTTTGGGCTCCTTCACAGAACTTTTAAACATCTACAGGGCACAGTTTGGAATCTGGTCCAAGCCCCTCCCCAGCTGACATCTTTCAGGAGAGGAACCTGAGGCTTAGCACTGATTTATAAGGTATATCAAGGCCTGAATCTTTGCACTGAATCTTGCTACTACCTTAAGCTATAACCATTACTCAAAAGTCAAAGAAAGTGACCCTGCCACCCTGCCTTTTAAATAAGGCAAATGTATCACAGAATTCCACAGGTAGAAAGACCTTACAGAGTGAAGTCTTTCATCTGCTTGCGGAACAGATACAGGTTAAAAGAGCTCCTAAAGTCAGAGCCTTTCATCCCTTCCATCAGTTTGTTCCCTCTGGTCACCCAGTAGTGATGGATTTCAGTTATTTTCTGTTTTAGCAACTTTATCCTAGCAGTGTTTATTTTAGGTCTTGGGCCTTAACTGAAGTTTGATTAAAATTTATGTTGTCTTATAATGGTTGGGTGCTAGCTCCCTGAAAAGTAAACATTTACTCCTTTAAAATGCACAAAACAGAAGGGACACCAATTTATTCTAGCCCTGACAGTGTGTCTAAAACTATCACTGTCAACACCATTCATTACCAAACATTACTTGAGTCATACTTACTAATTTGTTATATTCTGCTGCTAATGAACTAAGGCAATTATATTCAATGCTTAGCTCATTTAATATTGAGGAAAAATACACTGAAACTATAAAACTCAGAAAAAGAATTATGTTTGAATACCTCCACCTGGCTATCTTACTCTTCCAGAAAACACATCCTGGAGACAGCCCATACCTGGCCTAGCTCTGCGGTCTTAGTGCCGTGGGAGGGCCTCGGTAGAGGGAGAAATACAAACAGTGGTAAGTAAAAGTTCTTACATATTTATGATTCACTGTTCTATACTGTGCACATTTGATAGCATCAAAGATTGTTCTTGGGAAAAAAGCTGTGACTATACATACAATGTTATTTTGATAGTAAAAAGAAAAATCACCCCGTTTGTTTTAAACTGATTTCCTTATTTGTTGCCATTTGATTTATATTTAGCCTTTTGTTCTCTTCCAGGCTTATTAACATTTATTTCAGAGGCTAAACAGCTGTAGGTATATTCAGACATTCATTTTACTCTGCATTAGTAGCTCTGGAAAAGTTTAAGGGCTGGAAGGGACAATGATATAGATAAAAGCAGGACATCTGGATCATCTGTGGGTAGAATCTACTCATGCCATTCCTGTCCTACATGACCAAGAGAAGAGGTAGCATGTGAGTAAAAGTGACCTGGATCATGTGATGTCAGTAGTTGTGACATTCACTAGTTAAAAAATTAAGCTTGCTTAGCCACAGAGAGGTAAATTATTGGTGTTCAGGGACAACTTGCTTAATGTACTTTCTGTGACAACTTCGTAATTTGCTGAAAGAAAGAAAAAGGAAACACTAGGAGGAAATAAGCTGTATGTCTACCAGGAGACTAGCAGTAGTTGTTTTCAGTTATATTTTGTGTTTCGTTTCACAGTTCAGAGAGACCTGCTTTTATAAATGTTGACAGCTAGGTTGCGCCTGCGTTGAAATCTGCAAATACTTGGTTTGAGACAGAAGAGAAAAAGAAATTTAGGACTTAAAAAAAACAATGCAATGTTCATTGTAGAAAGGGGAAAAATATTCCAGGTCACTTTTTTTTTTTTGGCCACACCTAGAGGCATGTGGGATCTCAGTTCCCTGACCAGGGATTGAAGATGGAACCCACACCCCCTGCAGTGGAAGCCCGAAGTCTTAGGCACTGGACCGCCAAAGAAGTCCTCTGGTCCATTCTTTGTGCTGGTCGTCTAGGGATAGGAAAGCCCACATACATGAGGGCGATCTGGCCCAGCACAAGTCTTTCTGATTAACAGATGATTACAGACACGCTGATAAACAGGTTTTCATAATAACATGCCAAAAATGGAGCCCCCAAATGTTCCATGAGAGCTCTGAGGAAATGTAACAAGGGCCAAACACAGGGTTTTGGGGACTGTGAGTTGGGAGGGAAACACTGCAGATGCTGCCGAGACAAGAGGATGGACGACAGAGAGGCAGCCAGGGATGCTGCCGGGGGCTGGGGGTGGCGTGGGGGCGAAGGTCTCTCAGGAAGCAGAGCTGTCCGGGGAGGAGCACAGGAATAAACGGTCAGCTTTGAAGTTTTTGGTTTTTTAAAGCTACAGAGTGCTCTCTTCATACAAAACCTACTTTGGAAACCCAGTATGAAAAATACATGAGACCGGCTCTGGAGGGAGCTCCTCAGGGAGGTCCCACAAGGGTCAGTATGGGACACAGACATAGAAAAAGAGAGGTGCCTGATGAGGACGGAGCGTCACCCCGGGGCTCTCTGCGCCGGGCTCTGCTCCACCTGCGGCCGCTCCGGGTCCCTGCTGGCTTCCTCCCACCCTGCCCTTCCAGACCACACGCAGCTAACAGTCTGCTCCTGCCTCTCTGATGTGTATTCGAAGATGAAAAAACAAACAAAAAATAAGGATCAAGAAAGGAAAAACAAAAATCTGGAATATGTAGGAATACTTAACCTATTCTGTTCATGAGAGAAAGCGAGTATTTTAGGGAGGGAAAAAAAACACAAAAAAACTGTTACAATTATTTGGTAACTTATTGCTCCCTTTATTTCTGAAAAGTGGACTATATCAACAATGAAATAGGACCTATGGTTGCTCAAATCAAAATGGGTTTTATGATTGGCTGAAAGCTCTTCATATAAAGACATTTGCTGATTAAAAACAAAAGTATAAAGACTTGCTGGCTCATTTTAAAAAGTTTTCTGATTGGTTTGAAAATGTCTTGCTGTACTGCTCAAAGTAAATTTCTCCACCAACTGAAATGACCAAAAGTAGGTTAAAAAAAAAAAGCCCATCTACCCTGTGATTTTACCCCAGATGATTTTCTACAAAGCCTCTATTTTTTAAATTACCCAAATTCTAGACAATTATTTTAAAAAGTATAAATACAGGGATTTCCATTACACTATAAAATTTAATTTTCCTAAATGGAAATGCATTTTAAGTTTTGGTATTGCTACAAAGCTGAATACGTCATAACGTCATCCACAGATAATAAGTATTAACATTACAGGTGGATCCAATTATTTTACTGAAGTGGGTAGTCATTCCCTTCTTCAGGGCATCTTTCCAATCCAGGGTCTCCTGCATTGCAGGTAGATTCTTCACCATTTCAACCACCGGGAAGCCCACTTTTACTCAAAACACCTAAAATTTAATTAGCCTTACTCCTTCATATTCCAAACAAGGGCTAAAATAATTTTTGCTCAGAGTAGGAATAAAAGTCAAAAATAAACTGTTGAGTAATATGTTCCACATTAGAGCTGCCAAGAGACCCCAGATGATAGTGAGATGGGACCATCTTCTTAATTAACTTTTTATTTTATATTGAAGTACAACTGATTAACAATGTTGTTGTGATAGTTTCAGGTGGACAGAAAAGTGACTCAGCCATACACATACATGTATCCATTCTCCCCCAAACTTCCCTGAGATGGACCATCTTAAAGGCAGATCGTGTGGAGAGTCATGAGCTTGGGCCTTGGGGACGATGCACTAGTGCAGCCCCACCAGGTGTTTGAAGGCACCCAAAGTAGAAAACACAGACTCAGAGCAAGTCGGGGGAGAAGCAGAACACAGGCAGAGAAGGTAATGAACACATCTCAGCTTCTTTACCTGCAGGAGAAGTTCTTGAAGCTGGGCCCGCTTCTGCTTTATCCGTTCTATCCGCCTCTGCTTCTCTATCTTTAAAACACAGGTTACAAAATAGCATGAGCATGTAGAGTAGAAAATGCTGCTCACTTTTAATCTCCTAGTTCTGAGACATCAAGAATTTTCCTTAAAGATAGGCAACCTATTTAACTACTGACACCAGTAAAGGTAGATTCCAGCTTCCGGGGTCAGGTAAGCAAGCAGGCAAGACAGCAGAATTGTAGCAATCACCATCAAACGACATCCATCCCCCTAATGAACACTTGATCTGTGGGACCAGCTCTATTTATTTCACAAGCACCAATCAGAGTCACAGGTAACACTTGAAAAAGTGAAAGTGAAGTCATTCAGTCGTGTCTGACCCTTTGAGACCCCATGGACTGTAGTCTACCAGGCTTCTCCGTCCATGGGATTTCCAATCAGAGTCACAGCTAACACTTGGTGAATACCTATTCTATGTGTCAGTGATTACCTGAGTGCTAGACACATGGTCTCTTAATTCGTGTTCACAAAACCCTAGACATAAGTACGGCTGTTATCCTCTTTGCAGTAAGGAAATGGAGGCACAGAGGGTGAAGAACCTGTCCAAGGTCACATCACTGGTGGATGGCAAGAACCAGGATTTGAATCAAAGCCACCTGGTTACAGAAATCTCATTATTAACTGCTTTGCTCTATTAACCTCCCAGAATGAGATAAGATCTCATTTAAGATCTCCGTTTAACTGCTTGTTTTAGTGTGACTTGTGGGATTTTAATTCCCTGACCAGGGATCAAACTCACGCTCTCTGCACTAAGAGCACGGAGTCCTAACCACTGGTCCACCAGGGAAGACAGTCCCTAGAGCAGTTTAATCTCCTCTTGTTTAAACAGGCACGGCTGCTAATACAGGGCTCCTATATTCAATACGCAGTTCCTACCTGTAGTAAGAGACATGGTTATGGGACAAATTTCCTAGCTTCAACCAACTACTGTTTTCCTCAACCTCACAACTACCTAGAAAACACAGATTAAGGTCTGGAATATCCCAGTAGATGAGTTCCTCACTGTGTCTTTGGGCAAAAGCCAGTGACATCTAATATCATCTTTCTTGTCTACTCCAACAGCATCTTTCTTACTTGCTCCCCATCTAGTCCCCACCAGGAGTCTCTCTCATGATTCCTCTGATAGCAACCACTTGAACCCCGAGACACTTAAGATCCATTGTAAGATCTGTGTGCTCTTTCACATGTGAAAAGATGCTACTGGGGTTTTCCCCAGCATCTGACACTGTTGACAGAGCAGCTCCCACCTCATGCCTTGCATCCAGCCAGGCCAAGTGGTATTGATTCTGCCTCTAAAACACTTCTGCAGCCTGTCACGGCCAGAACTCAGCCCCTCTCCAACCCACCCCCTCACTTTCCCTCCTAATCTTCCTGTCAGTCCGGCTTCCAACCCACTGGCAGACTGACCCTTTTGATTACACTACCTCAGCTCTCTTCTTTACAATTTTCCAGTAGCTCCTACTGTCTATAGGATCAGGTCCCAACTACTTAACACCCAGGAACCTACCCTCTCTTTCACCTGTACTCTGGCCACAACCAGCTGTGGGCAAGCCTTCCTCGACCCGCCTCAGCCCAGGCAATGTCCCTGCCTCCCTGCCCTAAACCACTTGCAAACTCCTCCCTCATGACTGAGCACAAGGATTTTTTTTTCTCTTGGTAAAGCACCCCCACTCCCTCCCTTATACCCCTTTCCAGAGAATCTGTACACACTTCTTTCATAGGAGTCATCACAATTTTGGTAAGTCCTTTTACATTTCTGCTCTCCTCAATTAGAATGAAAGCTGCTTGGGATTGGAATCTCATATAATCTTTCATTTAAGCACATGGGAGATGTTAAGAGATTTTTGCTTATTTGGCTTTGATACCAGCTTAATATTACTGGTAATTAACCCTCAAGTATTTCTCTATCGGGAGGAGAAAAAAGGACATTTCCACTGCAGCACATGAATGACATTATTTTATAACTTCTGATGACTGACAGGTTTTCTCCCTCCATCCACAAGAATATTAATACCAAAATTTTTTGATTTGCTAGGGGAAAAAAGGGACTAAGAAAAACATGAAATCAACCATAGTCACGTCTAAAGCTGCCTTTTGGATATGACAGTAAAATTATGTCAAATCAATTTACAAATAATATGTCAGGGCACATGCTTATTTAGGAAAGATTTTGTATAATGATTGAAGTTCAAAGAATAAAACATGGCTTTTTGCACACATCACCCCAAATTCTTGTAAGCTGCACATTCTACCCATTCTGAAAAAGATTTAAAGGAAATTCCATACCATTCTCCTGCCACTAATTCTAGAGTTGAAGGTAAAAGTTCAAATACAAGAAATAGACAGCCAACTTGAATCCATTCTTTCAGATCTATACAGCCAAGTATTTCATCAAATAAGATCATTTCTAGTACACGAGTCAATGAAAATTTATTAGTAGAGTGCTCAGAATTAAATTAGAATAAAACAAAGATGTTCTCCAAAAAAAAGAGAAAAAAAAGAAATCAAGTCATTTCATTTCATGTTTCATCAGGACATCAGTCAGACTAGACCTCTCAAAATCTCCTTTCAGTTCTGAAATTCTACCTAGGAGAGACTTTAAAGAAAAAAGGCATACTATGAATAAATAGCTATGAATATTTTAATACTATGTGACTGTATTTCCAAATTAAAACATCTCTGATGTAAAATAAAGCAAAGTACTATCTGTAAACAGATTTTCTTCACTTACCTCCAGGTTTTGACATTCCTGAGCAGAATTGGTAGGCAGACCAATCCATCTGATTTCTTTTTTTTCCTTTGAAATTATGTTCATTGCCATCAGCACATTTAAAGCATCATAAACTCTTCGCCTAATGTTCTTCTGATCATAAGCCTGCTAAAAGAAATACGTTTATTGAGTGATAAACTTTAAAGGTCATGATATAATCACAAGGTATTAAAATATTTAATAATAATTTCATAAATATCTTCAAAGTTCTGAAAGAATTCTCCACGCAGTGAAAGTATCTTTTAAAAGTAATGACAAAAAAAAGTAAAGATTAAATAAAGATACTTTCAAGCAATCTAAAGCATAAAACAATCTTAAAAATAAGGATTATGTTCCTCATACATCTAAATTAAATGAGGTGAAAGAGCCTTTTCTAAGTAAAAGGAAAAGAATTTAAGATAGGAACTTGGAGATGATGTAGGATGACATGAAGACCAACTCAAAAGGTAAATCTCAATTAATACTGTATAAAGTATAATGTCTTGGGGAGTCTAGAAATAAAAAGAACTAATATACAGGACAGTAATACCAGACTACCTGACTTGCCTCTTGAGAAACCTGTATGCAGGTCAGGAAGCAACAGTTAGAACTGGACATGGAACAACAGACTGGTTCCAAATAGGAAAAGGAGTTCATCAAGACTGTATATTATCACCCTGCTTATTTAACTTATATGCAGAGTACATCATGAGAAATGCTGGGCTGAATGAACCACAAGCTGGACTCAAGATTGCCAGGAGAAAGATCAATACCCTCAGATACGCAAATGACACCACCCTTATGGCAGAAAGTGAAGAACTAAAGAGCCTCTTGATGAAAGTGAAAGAGAGTGAAAAAGTTGACTTAAAGCTCAACATTCAGAAAACTAAGATCATGGCATCTAGTCCTATCACTTCATGGCAAATAGATGGGGAAACCGTGACTGATTTTATTTTTCTGGGCTCCAAAATCACTGCAGATGGTGATTGCAGCCATGAAATTAAAAGATACTTACTCCTTGGAAGGAAAGTTTATGACCAACCTAGACAGCATATTGAAAAGCAGAGACATTACTTTATCAACAAAGGTCCGTCTAGTCAAGGCTATGGTTTTTCCAGTAGTCAAGTATGGATATGAGAGTTGGACTATAAAGAAAGCTGAGCACCGAAGAATTGATGGTTTTGAACTGTGGTGTTGGAGAAGACTCTTGAGAGTCCCTTGGACTGCAAGGAGATCCAACCAGTCCATCCTAAAGGAAATCAGTCCTGAATATTCACTGGAAGGACTGAAGCTGAAGCTGAGACTACAATACTTAGGCCACCTGATGCGAAGAGCTGACTCATTTGAAAAGACCCTGATGCTGGGAAAGATTGAGGGCAGGAGAAGGGGACGATGGACGATGAGACAGTTGGATGGTGTCACCGACTCAATGGACATGGGTTTGGGTGGATTCCGGGAGTTGGTAACGGACAGGGAGGCCTGGCGTGCTGCAATTCATGGGGTCGCCAAGAGCTGGACATGACTGAGCAACTGAACTGAACTGAACTGAATAGTATATATAGGAGAAAGGGGTAATGGAGTTAAAGTGGGCTAAGATCCTGTAGTGTCTCTGAGGATGTCAGACTTTCAAAAGTCAAGGATGCATCCTTTAAGTTCTAGTTAGCAGTGCTTCTCAAAATGTGGTCCACACACTAGTGCTGATCTGCAAAAAATGAAAATGGTGAACCTGCACCAAAATGTAATCATATAAATCACTAGGCACACTGTGTAGTTCAGCTGATATTTTTTTGGTAGCAAGACTTTATAATAACAGACACTATGTTAACTTACACTGTGGGAAAGCCCCTTATCTTTTGGTGGACAGGCGGTTTGTAAGAACTGAATCCAACCAATCAAATGCCATGATAATAAAAGATGGTGGACAACAATGAACCTACTTAAATATAGAAGTAAACTTAAATAAAAGGGAGATTTTAAGTTATAGAACTGAATGTAAATATTAGAAATCCCAATACTGTAGAAACAATGACAAAATAACAACAGATGTTAGGAGGAGGCAACAGCAAGTCTGCTGATTTCCTCTTCTTTTTTTTAGAAATAGTTCATGCTTTTGTTTTTTGAAAGTACTTTTTGACTGCGCTGGGTCTTGTGGGATCTTTAGAAGCAGCATGCGAACTCTTAGTTGGAGCACGAGAGATCTAGTTCCCTGACCAGGGATTGAACCAGGGCCCCCCTGCATTGGAAGTGAGGAGTCTTAGCCACTGGACCACCAGGGAAGTACCTGATTTCCTCTTCTTTGATACTGGAAGCAGTATGAATTCAAAGCAGATGAACTATTCAAAACAGATCAACTATGCAATAATTTTAGCACAATATATTCAAAGTCATAAAAACAACTATAATATTCTTTTAACAATGGCCACGAATACATTCAACTGAATCCTGTGGTAGAGGGGAAAGATGGGAGATGGGAATACAACAGGCATATGGATTTATTTTTTCCTCCATAATCAATCATAGTCCATAGGTGATAACTCAAGAAATGAAATACTGAAATTACTGAGATTATAAAATACTGAAGTTATAATAAAAATAACTTTAAAGAACTACAGACCATAGAGCTTCCAAATCATGAGAAAAACAAAATAGTGAATCAACAGAAAAAAAAATCCTTGCTTATATTCAGGAGTGGGGATGGGGTGTGGTTATTAAAAATGTGTGTTAGATATTGAAAAGTGCTAAGAAAAGTGCTTCACTTTAGTAACATCTGAGTGAAAATTAGATGGAGAAGAGAAACTACATGGAAATCCCCAGCAAAGAACACATGTAGTGTAGTAACTGCGGGTAGTAACTGAGAGGGTGCATGGTAGGCGATGAGAGGTAGCAGAGGGCCAGGTCACACAGGGTCTGCTAGACCGTTCAGAGAACTCTGACCCTCACTCAAATTCAGAAAGCCATATACTTTCAAGCGCCCAGGGAAATTAAACAGAAATCACCATATAATGGCTCACAAGAAAAATCTCAAAGCAATCCCCACTTAAAGGAAACAGTTTGACTCAAAATTTCTGATCACAGGTAATAAAAGTAAAAATTCATGACAATAAGCAAAAATCCCTATCACCTGGAACTGTAAGAAACTTTTCAATGCAATTGTTAAGCCAAAGTTACAGAATAAAGAGTAACATACCAGAATCAATGGGGGTATGGGTAGTGTACAAGAGGAAAATAACAGCCATAAAGACTTTCAATACAAAACAAAGAAAATAAAAGTAAATAAAGCATATAGCGTAAAGAAATAATAAAAGTAACTTCAGGAAAGAGAACAGAATATTAAATGCAGATAAAAACAGAAATTAACTTCAGAACCGGAGGTCTATACAAACAAATCCAAGAGATGGTTTTTGGGGGGAAATAAAATTGCAAATGATTTGGAAAACATGGATTAAATGGAGAATGTTCTAAGAAAACAAAAAAACACCAAACTGACTCAAAGGGAGAAAGCAATTATAAACAGACGGATTACCAAATAAGAAATGGAGAAAGCTATCTAAACCCCCCACCAAATCACCACACAGTATCTCAGGTGATTTCCATCAGATTGCAGGGAACAAAACTAGACATCCCATGCCATTAAACCTGTGATGGCGTAAAGCGAAAGAGAAAGCGAAGACCTCTAAATTCATTTTATAAAGCCAGCATGACACTACTTATCAAAACTGCAAAGGGGGTACTGATTGCAAACAGGTGCCATGGAGGCTGGCAAGCAGGTCAAACGTGGTCTCTTGAGTCTAAAAGGCATCGCAGAGCTTGGCGTGACCAAGCAGGAGAAGGAACAGGACAAAGACAAGGCAAAGCTTGAGGAAGCGATGAGAATGAGTACAAAGAACAGGAAGGAGGGACTTCCCTGCTGGTCCAGTCTAATGCAACTTCTAATGCAAAGGGTGCAGGTTCAAACCCTTCTCAGGAAGGTAAGCTCCCACATGCCACAGGGCGTGGCCAAAAAATAAAAAGCACAAGAAGCAGTGTGGCCTGGGACAAGGGTACCTTGGCCCAGTTGGCCTTCAAGGAGATGCAGTAGAAATGGCAAACGGAGAGGATCCTGAAGAAAGCAACCAAAATTCACAAGCCAAGAGCAGAGGGCTCAAGAGGCACCTGGACACACTCACTGAGCACCGTGACAGGCCCAGAGTCTGCTGGGGGAAGCAGCGCCCCTGCCTGGGGCATGGAGGGGTGTGGAGGGTAACTGGGTCATGTTTGGTGCCCTTGGTATTTTCTAGAAACATTCTTTTACACACAACCCTGTATCTTCTCCTGAGGCAGCGCTTTCCAAAGCAATGTGCCTTCATTCTGGAATTTGATTAAAGTCAGACTAATACTCTATTTTGATTTCTCATAGGCAATAAGCCATTTTAGTCTGGACTGGGGATTTTTGAGAGTTTATCCAGAGATTAAGGTTATCTCTGTGTATATGCCATGGAAACGTGTTTTCACCTCCGAGTTGCACCTAACTCTTTGAAGCCGGCCAGCTGGCTCTGCCTGGATGAACCTGACTCCGGAGGATACGGAGTCAATGCCAGGATGGCCTGCAGCACATAGATCCCTGGGGGGCCCTGCATGGGCTTCCCTGCCAGGCTCCTGATAGCTTGGGGCCTGTGCTCTTCCCTCCAGGCCCTGCGGAAGCCAGTTGAAGCTTCATGGCCTTCAGCCTGCCTTCCCAGTCACCTGGCCAATGAGACAATGCAGCCTGGGAATCAGCACAACCACCTAAGGCAAGGACGGAACATACAGCTTGTCCCTTTCTGAACCTGGTCAGTTTGCAGCCTCTTCTCCCCATATCTTCATTCCAGACATGTGTCTAGTGGGTGTTGCCATGGCAGATATCACTAATCAAGCACAGCATTCTCTGTAATAGAACCCAGGCACAGTCTGCCTCCTTATCCTTGACCCTAAGGTCCAAGTAGCTCCTGTATTTACTCAGGGTTGACACATAACATGTTTGACATTCCTGGCCTAAGGATACATCTAGGGCAACAGGACCAAAGAGGCACAGTCCCAGCACAGAAAGACAAGGGTGAGGTCAGAAGGGAGCACCAGGGTCCCAATGCTGGAGAGCCAGGATCTATGAGGGCCTATGTGTACCCACTGGATAAGGCTCAAACTATGCTATTGGGAGAAATACCTACGTGACATAGACACTGAAAGAATAACAGAGTCAGAAGAAAAAACCAAGTGTTGTGTTTGGGATATCATAGAACGTGAAAGCATCAGTTGCTCAGTTATGTCCAATTCTTTGTGACCCCATGGACGGTAGCCCACCAGGCTCCTCTGTTTATATAATTCTCCAGGCAAGAATACTGGAGTAGGTTGCCAGTCCCTTCTCCAGGGATCAAATCTGCATCTCCTGCATTGCGGGCAGATTCTTTACCATCTGAGCTACTGAAACGCAGAATAAAGGAAAAAATGTTATTTAAAAAATTGCAAAGATTATAAAAACAAAAGCAAATAACCCCACCAGTTTCATTCATAAATACCATTGTAAAAATCCTAAAATGTCAGGAAGCTATCTTCCTGACAGAATTAAGTTCAACTCCATTTCTGATTTTTTTAAATTAAGCAAAAAGAAATGTTCATTAAGAAAAAAATCAAGTTATGGTTACTACCATCTTAAAACCTTTATCACAATTAATGCTGCAAAACTATAAATATTTCCACTAACTTTAAGAAGTGAAGATCAGAGTTACTACTATTATTTAATATTGTTCTGGAATACATAAAGTATGACTACATTTAAGTAAAATGCAAACTAACTTATAAAAAGTATATCAGCAGCTGCCTGGGGCTAGAGGGCAAGGGAGGGATGGATTACAAAAGGCAGGAAGAGGCTTTGGGAATGATGGAAACATTTTGTGTCCTGATCATGTTGGTGGCTTCACACCTGCGTACAAATGTCAAAACTCACTGAATTTTACACTTGAATACATCTTATTGTATGTAAACTAGCCACAATAAATAAAAAAATAATTTAACAGTTTAATTGTACACTTAAAACATGTACATTCCCCTCCCTGCATGTAAATTTATCTCCATTTAAAAAAAAATGAGAATGACTTTTATGTGCTAAAAATGAGGCTCTAGGTATATTACTAAGAAAATAAAATTAAGAATGAAGCATGCAAAGCACAACCACATTTATGTTTAAAATAACAAATTTTATTATATAGGTGCATAAAGAATTTCTGGAATGATACTCAAGAATCTGGTAATAGTGAACAGTTCCTTGTGGAGTCAGATTAGAGTCTGTGGTAGAAGAGAAAAATTTTTTATCATACAGTCTTTGGTACAACTGAATTTCTATAAACATGTTCATGTAGTATTTTTTCAATTAAAAATAAGATAAAATTTTCTTACTGACTTAAAACACTGGAAGATTCAGATGTATCTAAGGTCATTAAAAAATAAAAAGTATACTTTTTAAAAAGTATGTTTCTTCAATAACCCCCAAAGATATTTAAAAAATACTTGTCCACCTTTATGTTTAAATAAGTAAGAATCCTTTTCAAAACAAAACAACAAAAAAATCAAAACAATAGAATTCCCTAATAGATAATACGAAACCCTCAGGTAAAGGGAAATTTGAGGATTCCCTAGCTTGTCTGAGTTCTCAATTTGACAGACAATCCAGAGAGGTACCACTGCTGCATCACTTTCACAGTCAACATCAAAGGCATGATCTACCTACCGAATCAGCTGCCAAATGGTTATTTGAATTGGTGAACTCGGACACCAGCTCATCAGCTACTTCATTATATGACGTTGTACCTTTCCGCTGAACTTTCTCACACACTTTCATTGAAAAGTGTCTCAAGCCTTTTCCATTTTTATCTCCTTTTTTGCTTCGTTTGCTAAAAGAGAAAATAAAATTATACTCCATTATACTTACTAGAGACTTCCTTTATAAAACTATAAACTAATGTGAGAAGACAGGAATTTGATTATTTGTTCCCAGTGCTCAATTTTACATTGAATTAGAGATAAGGAAATGTTTTAAACTTAATTTTTACCTTAAAAGCCTAATAAAGTGTGCAGTTGCCTTTTTATGCTCACTCATTTGTTGCCTAAATATTTACTGACCAGTTACTTACTATTAAGTGTCAGATGCTGTCCTACACATTGGGAAAAGACTTGTGAAAACAGCAGACAAAAACTCTGTCCATGTAGAGTTTATATTCCTAATACTTATCTTTTTGCATTCTATGTATGCTATAGCTTTTTTTTTCCCTGTGAAGAAAGCTGAGCACTGAAAAACTGATGCTTTTGAACTGTGGTGTTGGAGAAGACTCTTGAGAGTCCCTTGGACTGCAAGGAGATCCAACCAGTCCATCCTAAAGGAGATCAGTCCTGGGTGTTCATTGGAAGGACTGATGTTGAAGCTGAAACTCCAATANGTGAAGAGTTCACTCACTGGAAAAGACTCTGATGCTGGGAGGGATTGGGGGCAGGAGGAGAAGGGGACGACAGAGGATGAGATGGCTGGATGGCATCACCAACTTGATGGACATGAGTTTGAGTAAATTCCAGGAGTTGGTGATTGACAGGGAGGCCTGGTGTGCTGCGATTCATGGGGTCACAGAGTTGGACACAACTGAGCAACTGCACTGAACTGAACTGAAAATTAAAAGTACCACTATGCTAGAGTTCTATTATCTACTCAATTTTCAATCAGAAGTCATTGGTGTTGGGTAGGGAGGGAGGTGGGAGGGTGGTTCAGGATGGGGAACACATGTACACCCATGGCTGATTCATGTCAATGTATGGCAAAAACCACTACAATACTGTAAAGTAATTAGCCTCCAATTCAAATAAATAAATAATTTTTTTTTTAAAAAGAAGTCATTGGTGTTAGTAATAGATCTACATCTTCAGTTATCTTAAGTTAGGTTAATGCCTAGGCCTAACCTTTGATAGGAGAAGGTAATGGAACCCCACTCCAGTACTCTTGCCTGGAAAATCCCATGGACGGAGGAGCCCGGTAGGCTGCAGCCCATGGCTTCGCGAAGAGTTGGACATGACTGAGCGACTTCACTTTCACTTTTCACTTTTATGCATTGGAGAAGGAAATGGCAACCTACTCCAGTGTTCTTGCCTGGAGAATCCCAGGGATGGGGTCGCACAGAGTCAGACACGACTGAAGTGACTTAGCAGTAGCAGTAATCTTTGATAATTTAATCATTAAAATTTCAGAGGTCAGTTTAGTTCTACTAATATCCGAGTACCAATTATATGCTAGAAACTGTGTGTCTTAGGGGCTGGAAGTACAAAAACAGTAATTGATGCAAAATCCTTTCCCTCAGTGAGATCTAAGGCTGGAAGAGAGGTAAAACTAATATATAATGACAGATAATTTCACTATAATAAGGTAAGTGCCAAGTCAGAGTTATTCACAATGTTTTATGGGAAATGGTAAGAGGGGTATCTAGTCTAACCTAAAGGAGGAAGATTCCCGGAGTAAGAATCAATGAAAACAATCCACAGAAAGAGAAGGCAATCTATGGAAAGGGAGAAAATATTTGCAAACCCTTTATGTGATACGTGGTTAATATCTGAACTATCTAAGAAACTCCCACAACTCAAGAGTAAAACATGTAACACAAAAAACAGGCAAAGGACATGAATAGACATTTCTTCAAAGGAAACATATAAACGACCAGGAGTTATATGAAATGGTGTTCAACATCACTACTCATAAAAGAAACACAAATCAAAGCCACAATGACATTGTCCCCACACCTGTCATGTTCACTGCAGCTTTATTCATCCAACCAGTCTAAAGGATGTCAGTCCTGGGTGTTCACTGGAAGGACTGATGTTGAAGCTGAAAATCCAATATTCTGGCCACCTGATGCAAAGAGCTGACTCACTTGAAAAGACCCTGATGTTGGGAAAGATTGAAGGCAGGAGGACAAGGGGATGACAGAGGATGAGATGGTTAGATGGCATCACCAACTCAATAGATATGAATTTGGGTAAACTCCAGGAGTTGGTGATGGACAGGGAGGCCTGCTGTGCCGCGGTTCATGGGGTCGCAAAGAGTCAGACACAATTGAGCGACTGAACTGAACCAAGACAAGGAAAACTCAAATATCCATAGATGGACGAATGGATAAAGAAAAATGCAGTATGTGTATACATATATATTCACATAGACATATAGGCATATTTATATATATACAACATAATATTATTCAGCCTTAAAAAAAAAATTCTGCCATATGCAACAACGTGGATGAACCTGGAAGACATCATGATAAGTGAAATAAACCAGTCACTGAAGGACAAATGTTGCATGATTCCACTTATATGAAATATCTGAAATAGTCAAGCTTCCAAAAGCAGAGGCTGGAGGGAAAGGGGAAATGGGAGTCTGCTGTACAGAGGAACCTAGATCTCATCATATTCCATCATTATAATTGCATTCATTTATAAGTTATTTACATGTTCTACTGTGTTATGTCCATTAAGAAATAGATGCTAAATGTACTTTTCAAAAGAGTAAGGGAAGATATCTACTTTCTTTCCCTGCATTCCCAAAGAGTCCTCTCTGTGTATTCACTGTGGGTCACAGACTACTGAAATACTGTTATCCCACTCAGTGGTATTGAGGGATGGAGTGGCATGGTAAAATTTTCAGTGAGGTGGAGATTTTGGATGCAGAGTAATTTATGGAGGGCAGAAGCAGGAACAGGAAGACCCACTGATAGGTTACTGTAATAGTCCTAGCAAGCAATGCTCAGTCCTGGAATTTGAGCAGCAGGTAGGACTGGATAAGAAGAGATGGATTTGCAAAAATGTTAAAGATAAAAATCAGTAGAATGAAGTGACTGACTGCTGTGGATGGTAAGGAAGAGGGAAACAGGACAATAATCCTTAAAAGGAGGGGTCATTTACTGAGATCAAGGAATTTGGAACAAATTCATGAATTTCATTTTAAACCTTTTCACTTGCATTGTCTAATACTCTGGGCATATTCTACTTGTGGCTATCAAACACCTGAAATGGGACAAGTCTGAATCAAGTATGCTGTTAATTTCAAAGACCTATGTGAGAAATGAAGGTATAATTTTTATATTAATTACAAATTGAAATACACTACTTCAGATATACTAGATTAAATAAAAGATGTAACATCAGTCTCACATATTCCAGTTTACTTTTTATAAACTGAATGTTGGAAAATTAAAACTCACATGTGGCTTGCATTACATTCTATCAGGCAGCAATGAGGTTGAGTTTGACATGCCTATAGAATATCCAAATGGGTATATTCAGTAGACAGAAGAATAATACATAAGTCTACAGCCAGTGTGAGAGGCCACTTATAAACCTATCAGCACCTGCACCCAGTTCTTCTCAGTCCCAGAGATTAGGCAACCCGTTCTTCCTTTTCAAATCTAACTTCCTTTTTCAAGGTAACAGCTTTATTGAAATACAATTTACACACCATACACTTCATCTTTTCAAGTATAAAATTCAGTGGTTTTGTTCAGGAGTTATGCAACCATCACCATAACCTAATTTTTCCGCCTTAAAAAGAAATTCTGTCCCCATGAACAGTCACTCCCCATCCCCCTATCCTCAAGCCCTTGGCAACCACTGTTTTACTTTCTGTTTCTATGGATTTGCCTGGTTTTCAATGTCAACTTTGCAACTGGAGCTTCTCACTTCAGTGCTTCTGATCCTGTATTATGTGCTTTCCTTGACCTGTCCCATTCAGTTGTTTGTTTTTCAAGTGTACAACCTATCATGGAACCTGAATATGATCAAGACACAAGATCCACCTACCAGTTTAAAGGAAACACTGAAGACAGAAGAACACGTTAAACTATACTAAAGAGATGCTATGGGACTTCCCTGGTGGTCCAGGGGTTGACAGTCTGCCTGCCAATGCAGGGGACGTGGGTTCCATCTCTGGTAAGGGAAGATCCCACATGCCTCAGAGTGGCTGGCCCCGTGTGCCTTAACTACTGAGCCTGTGAGCTGCAACTACTGAAGCCCAGCAGCAGCCAAAAATCAATCAATTAATTTAAAAAAAGAGAGATGCAGTAAGCAAAATCTTTAGAATCTTTCTTCAGGATTAATGTGGTTTCTTCAACTAATTTGGAAGGGAAAAAGTGAGGAAAATACAGAGGGAAAATCTACAGATTATAAAAGACTAAACAATTTATTTAAATTCTGATTCATATAGACTGTAAACACACACACACACACATACCCATATAGGAGAGTGTGGAAAGACAGCAACAGCAGCATAGTTCTCAAACTCTCCAAATCCCCATACAAAAACAGAGCAAGTAGCTATCCAAAAGTCTACAAGCAATAAATGCTGGAGAGGGTGTGGAGAAAAGGGAACCCTCTTACACTGTTGGTGGGAATGCAAACTAGTACAGACACTATGGAGAACAGTGTGGAGATTCCTTAAAAAACTGAACTAGAACTGCCATATGACCCAGCAATCCCACTCCTGGGCATACACACCGAGGAAACCAGAACTGAAAGAGACATGTGTACATCAGTGTTCATTGCAGCACTGTTTATAATAGCCAGGACATGGAAGCAACCTAGATGCCCATCAGCAGACGAATGGGTAAGAAAGCTGTGGTACATATACACAATGGAATATTACTCAGCCATTAAAAAGAATACATTTGAATCAGTTCTAATGAGATGGATGAAACTGGAGCCCATCATACAGAGTGAAGTAAGCCAGAAAGATAAACACCAATACAGTATACTAATGCATATATATGGAATTTAGAAAGATGGTAATGATAACCCTATATGCAAGACAGAAAAAGAGACACAGATGTATAGAACAGATTCTTGAACTCTGTGGGAGAAGGCAAGG